TCATCTTCAAGGTATGTAAGAATATATTGCAAACATTCTGGAGAAAGGTAAAGGGCCATTATTTTTAATGTAAACGAATGTGAAAAGGCTATTTCTTATAGATTCTGATCGGATGACTAAAAAAAAAAATTTCCTATGCAATAATGCGGGCCACCAAACCATAATTCTGGTTGCAAAAAAAAACGGGTTGTCAATATATATATATATCTGTTATATCTTTAAAAATGATGATATACAATACTGCAATATACAATACTGTAATAACGAAACCTCTTTAACAAAACTCTGTATATTCAATTTTAAACGCAAAAATTAAAATGGCTGACGAAGGTACGAGAATACAAAGCAAAGCAGTAAAGAATTACTTTTGGCTCTGATCTACTATGATCAACGAAACGATCTGAAAGATCTCCATATTCCTATACATATGTAGAACAAATAATTCGCGACAGACTTACTGTTGACGAACGTAATCTTCGCCGTGTAACTCGAAAGATTGGCGTATTCCTCAATTCTTTAGAACAGGGTAATCTCAAAGAAGCGTATGTATGATAAAGTACAACGTTGAGTGGTAAACTTTTTGATATGTTTAACGTAAAACACCTTTCTAAATTATATACATCCTTGTTTGCTTACGGAAAGTCGTGTACAATTTAATGACTTTATAGTCGATTTTTCATCCTATGAAATTGGTCTTATACGATTCCAAGTCATTCATGATATGAATCTCTGTGAGACACGACATTGGGAAGAAGAAGCTTTGAATATTGGTATGAAACAATCTAAACCAACTTATAAAACAAATGTAGAACTCTGAATAATTTTAATTTATTTTATTATATTTTGTTATGGTACAGAAAAGCAAATCGAAGAGACTAAAAGAATTATTGAAAAATTGGAGGCGGAGCTTGAAGCGGAGGAAGAGATACGCAGGAACAAGATTGAATATGACCAATTGGCATCAGAAATTAATGAACTTCAATCGCGAGAAGAATCTATAAAGTAAAAGATTTTTTTTTTTTGAATTCATAAAAAGCCTTGTTTTCAAATTTTTTCTTGATTTATAAAATAAAAGCATCATAACGTTTATTCAGTGAAATTACAAAATTGGACGAAGAAACTTTATTAATCGAAGAAAAAGAACGGTTATTTGATGAAACATTGAGTCATCGTAGGGCCCAATTAGAACGAGTATTATCAGTTATACAAGATGTACAATCTCAAATACAAATTGAACAAGAACAAAACCGTCACATTCTTGGAGAAGATGAAGAACCTGATGCAACACCTGAATCTATTAGAAGTGAATTTGCATCTCCAATAGGTTCACCAATTCCTGATATACAAGTAAACGGAACTGATGAGACTACTACACATGAAAGTGCTGATACAGTGAATAACATACAGGATCCGCCACAAACTAATGGCAATGGCAATGAAGTGAATTCACCTCGTCCTGTTAACGGAGATTCAACATTAGCCATGAATGATGCTGGAACACCGGTGTTACAAGAGTATCAAGATCATTCCAATGCACCATCACGGCAAGATGGTTCGTCAAGTGGAAATGAAAAAGTTACCCAAGAAACTATACCTGAAGAAGGAGCAGTAGTTGGAGAAGCAGGCGAAGTTGATGAAGAGGGTAGCATTGAAGAAATGGGAGAAGTTGTTGAAGAAGAAGATGATGAAAGTATTGA